CCCATTATGAAAGTGGGCTAAAGTAAAGTCCGTTAAAGACTGTGGGCTTGAGTCTTAAACTTCAGGGTAAATATGACCCATTACAGAAGTGTCTCGCAACTAAGATCCATCCGAAATGGAGTGGTTCAATGCTCTAGCTAAAATTATCTGTATCTTGGTATTCTACACCTAAAAAGTGTGGAATCCAATTTCGGTTATCATCGGATGGAGGAACTAATAACACAAGCACTTGCAAAATGCACATGTGAAATCCCAAGTGAAGTTTGCTTTACATCATCAGTGTTGTCATCCAAGTGCCACAAACATACATAGATCACATGACTCAAAGAAACAGCATCCAAGTCTTGAACCATTACACAAATATAAAGCAGATCTTAAGGCATGTTTATGACTCAACTATGGGCTTTGAGGAAGTCGAGGATCAGCTCGTTTACCAGCTCAGGTGACTGCTCTTGAACAAAATGTGTTCCTTCAGGCAAGTAGATGACATCCAGATTAGGTACAAACTCTTTCACCTTTCCGCTCTTTATGAAGTCCTCAATTCCTGGAAATTTGAAGACATAATCCTTGCAACCCATGATCAATAATGCGGGAAGCTTAACTACTGGGTCTGCAATGTCAAACTCTTCATCCATTGATCTAAAATGCATGATTAACTCATAACTGTTAGTTGGAGTTGGAGTTGGAATAGAAGCAATCTAGCAGGGTGAGGACACTCTTAGCCATACTAGAAATCCAAGTTAAAAGCAAAAATATATAGTGAGTAGTCACAACACACTACAAAATTGCTAAATGCATTTGACATCATACCTATATGGAACTTTAAGTGCAGTCTGAAACCCAGATTTCTCATACAAGGCTCCATATGCTGAGAGATCTTCATCTGAGAACCAAGAGGGAAGGGCAGTAGAAGGATCTACCAAATCCATGATCTCCTCGTTTTCTTTTGCTATTGGTATCTCGCTTTTGGAGAATAGAATATAGACATTCTTCACAACTGTTTTAGGGTCAAAGCGCCCAAAATCAGCTTCTGCCCTTCCCGGTTCCTACACAACAAAGGTCAAAGCAATATAACTTCAGCGAGCTAATTTTGTCTTTCCCCCGCTACCTTTTGACACTTTAGAAAAGAAAACAAGTACCCTCCATCTTGCTATGTAGAAGCCTTCAGGAAGGTGTTTGTGGAATTCCAAGGGCCCAGGAGGTAAGTATGGCACTCCCAGAGTCACAACACCTGAGACTCTTTCTGGATGAAAATGAGCAAGGAGGTAGGCAGGCCTAAATCCAAAATCCTTTGCCACAACGTAAACCTTCTCTCATTTAAAAAAAAAAAAAACAGAGCACAGTTGAGCATAGAATCAAACACCACATTTCAGCTAAAAACAAAAGCATATTCTTTTGCTAAACTTATTACAACTCTATATAAGGTAATGGAATGGCCTTGCATTACATAGAGGTAATAGTTAATTCAAATCTATCTAATTAAGCTTATTTCATATTGGAAATATAAGACCCGCATTTAAATGCTACAAACTCATCAATAACGTAAGGAATTTCAAGATTACTATAAATTGACAATAATATTTTCAATATATTTTTTTTACAAAAATACTATAGTTACAGTAACACGTGACATTATAAACTTACAGTATAATATATTATTAAATAATTAACTCTTTTCATTAAGGATCTACCTGTGATATTGTATCTATCTAATCATTTAATGCCACGTCATATTTTTTTAATGTCATATAAAATTGTAAGCTTATAATCCTCCTCTGTAGCATTCTAAGTATAGCATTGCTGTTTTTCTTATGGAAAATAAAGATTGTATTAAAATAAACGAAGTGGAGATTACAAATTCATCAACAAAGTAAGGAATCCCCATATTCTCAATAGTTTTAATTTCAGAATAATACAATAGAATCCATCATTTCATACCCCTGCAAGCATAGTTCGACCAGGACGGTAGAAAACTGAAGTTCGCCTTAACAACAAAATGGAAAGAATTAGAAATCGTACCTTATTAAGTCCGAGGTGATCTAGGATTGCAACAATATCGCTAACGAAATCAGCAAATGTTGCCTTGTGGGGTTCGGGTGGAGGATCGGAGAGTCCGTACCCTCTGTAATCTGGTGCGATGGCGCGGAACCCAGCATCGGCGACGGCAACCATCTGATGACGCCAGGAGTACCAAATCTCCGGGAACCCATGTAAGAACAGAACCACGTTAGGACCTGAAGACAGAAAAACAGAAAGACGATGTCCGATTAAAAAATCGATGAAATCAAACTACGTACGTAATGAGTAGAGGGGTTTATGTTAAACATGTCTGGTTAATTACTACTATATTTACCTGAGCCGAGTTCAGCTATATGAAGCTTCAGCCCTCGAACAGTGATGAAGTTATGCTGGATTTTCTCCATTTTGGTTCTGAAATTCTTGAGATGAGGAGGAAGAAGGAGAAGAAGAGAGTAAAATTTGTTGAATATCGGGTAACTGATCACTGAACATTCTTCACTAAAAAGACCAAATTTTAGTTCAGCAGCCAGCGTTAAAAATAGTGTAAAATACAATTAAGGTTAAATATGGGTATAGCCCATTGTGAAAGTGGGCTAAAGTATAGTCCGTTAGAGACTTTGTGGGCTTGAGTAGTAAACTGCAGGTTAAATATGACCCATTATGAAAGTGTATTCATGTTATTATTTATAATTTATAATTTAAAATATTTATTTTGTATGCTTAAAGTTAATAATTAATAACTATTTATAAAAATATAGAACAAACACCTCCTTCAACTTCAAGTGAAGTTACTAATGACCTAAGTAATTCATTGATTATCTCATTTCGTTGGAAGTAAGAGATCTTGAATTTAAATTACATAACATGTAAGTGAAGTGAAATAAAAAATGGAAGATGATTATCTTTTAAAGTGGAACTAAGATAAAAAAAAAAAAAAGAGTTTCTGTTAACCATTACTTGGGGCCTTCCTCCTTTTTTATCCCCGAGAATTGGGGCAAATGCATCCAATCCATTTTTTAAAAAAATTGTTATTGTTGGGGAGGGTTTTTTTTTTCTTTTAAAAAAATTAACGTCGGGAAAAAATGGAAAAAAAAAGTGTAGAACATTTTTGTATTTGGAACCTTAACTGTGACATTTTGGTGCTCCTTCAATGAAGGGTTAGCATTAGAAGCTCTTTCAAAGTCTAATTAACGTTGTGGGAGTAAATCCTGCTTTAGTATTCGATTCTTTTACATTACATGCAGGATGCAGCTTATACTTTTAAAAGAGATTGTTGTTGTTGTTGCTATTGGGCTGTCATCAGACGAATCGATCAAATACCTTTTGATATTTATATATCTTTTTACCTTTTCTCTTTTTCAATGCTAATGCTCTAATTAATTTGTAGTAGAAAGCAGTTGCATTAGATCCTTGCGAAAATGCTTCACCATGAATTCAAGCCTCTGAGAATGGATCTCCAATGCATCACAAAACAAATTGGTTATTGGTCCATAGCCTTCCACAGCTCTTCAGAAATCACTACCAAATCTACACCTCTGTAGTTG